TCGAACAAGATGTTTGATATTATCTAGCTCTTTTACTACATGAGGTGTATTCTTAACTAAAACCCATTTGTGCATCTTTTTCTAAGACATTATAAAGGATATACCTTAGTTGACGGTCCCATGCCATATTTTTCTAAAAAACCCTTCTCGTAAAAGTGGATGCCTTTCCAAGGTTTCAGCCGGCAGACCATGAGAACTGGTGAAGGTTCTTCACAGGGTTTGAAGTCTTTTCGCAGTTTTTTCAGATCGAACAGCCTCTCAGCCCATGCCAAGGGGTGAAGAGCATCCTCTGAATCAGGTACAGGACGGCTTTCGTAAGTGCGACCTTTGGACATGAGGGCAGGCGACACACATATGTTGCGGGCGCAAAAATGAAGTAGGTGTACCGAAACCTGCGAAGGGAATCTTAGCAGACAATTCGAGAGCATTTTCTAGTGTTGACTCCAAAAAGCGCCATCGACTTTAGGCGCATTAAAACTCGCAAAATAGTTATTCCATTAATTTCTAGAAATCTGGTAGTTTAATTGAGTAAGTTGAATATTCATTTTTTCTTCTAGCTAGTTGAATTCTTACTCTGATGATGAACCATTGACATAAGCGGCATGGGAATGGAATGTAAGTAAGTTGCCCTACGCGAACGTCGAAACCAGGGCAGGTTTCTATTATCGATGTTAAAAGTGGTCTATTTTATGATCACTGGTTACAATAATATGACTAATAGCGGCGTTAGGTCAACTAGTAGTCTACCAGAAAGTTAATTTCGCTTCATTCTAAGTTATGACACGCACAACGATTGCAATTACACTATGTTCGGTATCACGAACTAGTAACTAGAACGGAGTAGCAACAACTAACATGAAATTGCAAGGGGGTCTTATAACTCCACTATACCACCGAAACTGCTGAACATATTCGGTGACTGTAGCCTTTAGTCTTAGCTTTTTTACCTTAGAGGTCGCCTACCAAGGGTTTAAAGGTGGACCGGGGAGGCTTATTTGGTGTCTGACGTTTTGAGTTGAGAATGTAGTCAGCTACCCTTCGAAACTGCAGAGCCCCGTGAATATGCCTACTTAAAGGGCCGTTAATTATCGAGCTGTCAAGGCTGATGGCGACACAGGTCACAGTGGAGCGGAAGTCTTACTCAATCCCACATTGGCGACTTACGCATTAAGCAAAGCGCATTATATAGTGAAAACGTTTTGTCGGAATCTCCACTCCCAAGAGATGGGAAGCAGAAACCACTACGCAATAGAGCAGGCAACAGTTAAATCTCGGCCAGTGAACGCACCTTCTTTTCACATGCCATCTTCGAATAGTATTTTGATTAATGCAGTTAATGGGAAAAGCTTTATTTGTGCACTTTTATGGATTGCACTTTCAGTCAGTGTTTCGGGCATTTTGAACTTCCTGTCAGTGGTTTAGAGGTAAAGAATCCATAGGACTGGTTACGGCAAGAGTTATACTACACAGTCTTCCTAAAAACAGCATCCAGCCTCACTGAAGTGCAAAGCAGCGTATTATAATACACTCGATAGAAAACTCTGTAGCTAACATACTTCTGTATATCATCTTTATGAGTACTGTGTATGACGTGTCCA